CGGGGCATAGAGGAGAAACAATAATGTACAGTATGTGGAAAATAATTTTTTTTTTTTAACATTAAACCGCATAAACACATTTCATTACACCAAATACACAAAATGTTCTTTTTTAGCAACGTCATATGACCCCTTTAATCTTATAAAATTATGCATTTGAAATTTTGCAGTGTAAATGCATTTATTGCACCTCAGCTTCATCAAACTGTCTGTTTAAATGCATCTAATGCCACTTCAGATGCAGCTTCTGTTTCCTCAGAAGTGGAAAGAGTTTAATACTAATTTCATTTGAATGTTAACAACTCTACAGTTTCGTATTATTCGAACTGAATTTATTTAAACACAGTAAGAATTTGATGTGAAAGATGACACATTTAGTAAGGTTAGGGGGAAAAAATGACCATTTATAAACATAGTTGGAAATGACACCTGTTTTGTTACATACAGCAACTCATTTTAAGTTTACTATTTCTTCCTCTTTCCAGTCACAGAGCACTTTATTTTGAGAGTTGTTTAAGTGAGAGAAAATCTGTAACTTAGTCCAGATTGGGGGAATTGTAATGTTTAATCATTTCTTTTATTCTGTTGGGGGAATTGTAATGATTAATCATTTAATTTATGTAAATAATTTTTTGCATTAAAATTTGCATAGATTTTTGTTTGTATATGCTGTCAATTATAGTTTTTAGAAAGAAAATCGGAATCGGCAAAAATCGGTATCGGCAGGTCACACTTCCAAAAAATCGGAATCGGCCAAGAAAATTGCAATCGATGCATCTCTAGAGGAAACCCACCAACATCACAGAGTTGAAGTGGTTCTGTACTGAGGAATGGATTATTATTTTTTTTACTCCCTGTAAACATGTTTTAGGGACAAATTGACAAATGATGAAAAGGATCAACCAGAGGAAGATACTGATTTTCAGCTAAAGGTAAAACGGCGTTTTTAAACTCTGGCACTGCAGTTTTTATTATGTGGAGGATATGCACGCATGCTTTTTGATAAAGGTATTAACTGGTTCTAATGTTGTTTCCTTCCCCCAAGGAGGTTGCCTCAACTGAGGAACCAACCACAGATGTTAAACTAACCCAAGAAGGCACTGGGTCGGTTGTAGAAACACCAGAGAAAGCTACACAAAATAAAGATAAAACTTCAGAGAAGAATCAATCACCATCCAGGGATATCTCAGTTGATGTGAGTGGGCATGAGAAAAGTGGACTTGAGGGGACCAGCCCTAATGTTTCAGGTTCATCTGAGATGATATCAGGTACACCACCTAAACCCAATAGGAGACGTCAGTCTTTCATAACCTTGGAGAAATATGTTGATGGGAAATCACCAAGTCCTGCAAGTGTTGCATTTACTGGTCCGCACATTCGCAAATCAAGTAGACTGAGTTCTTCAAAGGCATTGGAGGCTACTCCAAATGACTCCCAACTTCAGACTACAAAAGAGGACTCTCGAAAGCGGAGCAGCACTGACCCATCTGCTCAAAATGAGGAAGTAAAAGATAAGATGTCAACAGGTCATTGTGGTGAAGGTACAGATGAAGAAGAGGATGATGTGGTCCCAGATATCCAGACCCAATTATCTGGCGACACGTCAGGTGATAAGAAAATTCCTGTGTCCAAAGCCAGTGTAGAGGAACAAGATTCTCCTGAAAAAGATTCACAGAGTCTTGCTGATTCTCAAGCTAGTCAAGAACCAAGAAGGTCAGGCAGACGGCGAAGTAAACCTGTACGCCCAGGGGAAGATCCAGGGGAGATGAAAAGCAGATGTCAAGAACAAGTTGCAGATTCTGCGGTGACAAATACACAAAAGCACATACTGTCTCCAACAATTAGCATTTTGACAGGAAGAAGTACGGTTATTGAGGACCGTAAATTTGGAGACCAGTTGAACACTAAAGGAATAAAAGGAGAGCTTAGCCAAAGTAATTCACAGATTTCCTCTGCAGAATCTTCACAGACACTTCCACAGGTTCCAATATTTATGCTTGGTAATAAAGAGCCAAGCCAGACTGTGTCCTCTTCTGATAGTTCTCCTGTAACTCAATCGGATGGCCAAAGCAAAAAGAGATCGTCAACTCTCAATGAGTCTGAAGGTTTGTCACCGGGTAGACCTATGAGGAAGACTAGAGCGCACCTTGAGGAATCGACAGACAAGGAGGCAGATGAAAACTCACAAAACGATCCTCATAATGCTGCGTCCACTTTGAAAAAGAAACATTCACAGACACCTCTTTCCGATTCTGAGGTTGATGGCCAGCAAACTGCCCGAACGCGAAGAACAAGGAGATCTGAATCTCAATTACTGGAGCTGGCTGGTTCGCAGACCAAAGACGACTTAAGTCAGAGAGACTCTCAAACACTGACAATGGTGAAGGGTAGAGCTATGCGAAGGAGAACTGCAGAAGAAGAGACCGACTATAGTATTAGAGATGCCACATCAACTGTAAATGCTGAAGAGTTAAGTGCAAGCCAAGATTCCTCAGAAGGTCTTGGTAGATATAGAACTCGACGCTCTAAAGGTTTGTTGGCTCCTACCGACAACACAGAGTCTGAAAACTCTGATAGCCGACAAGATGGACCAAGGCCTAAAAAGAGACCACGCAAAACATTATCCACAGAGATGCTGCCAGTTGCCACAGAGCACATAGTTACCGAGATGGGGCCAGATAAGGAGGGTGTTGATGTTTCAATGGAGATGTCACAGGATGAGGCAGATATTGAAACTAGTTTGAATATTTTAGTCATTGAGACTGAAGAACTTGAGCAAAAGTACAAAGAAGAGGTCCCTGCCCCTGATGGTGTACCACATGAACAGATTACCTCGGAGAAAGAAGCGGAAGATGTCAAAATTCAGATAGAACTGAAGACTGAAACTTATACAGATGAGAAGGAGGTCATTGGTGAGAAAGCAGAAGGTGAAGAATTGAATTCATCTTTACAGATTGGATCGGAAGATTTAAACGAGAAGACTAATGTTCCGCATAAATGCCCACATACCAGGGGACGGGGCCGTGGGCGTAGACGATCTAGAAGCTGCAACTGCTTTTCAAACAACTGTGACATGTTCTCACAGGGCAGTGACTTCCAAGAATCGCAGGATCTGAAAAGTGAGCAGGTTCCACTTGTCACTGATACCCTGAACTCTCAACCTGAGCAGTCAAGCTCAACATCTGTAGCAGAGAAAAGCGAGAGCTCAGGAATTGCAGATGTCCCAGATGCTGATTTTCAGCCATTTTCAGCATTGCCTGCTCAATTCCCATCTGAGGTTTTCCCTTCTGAAAGTCCCATTGCAAAGCTTGGTGTAATTGTTTCTCAGCTGTCTGAAGCAGAGGAAGGAACACAGCTTGAATCATCCAAACCAACAGGTGAATCAAACAAGCATGTAGAGCTCCCAAAGGCAGAGACAAAGCAGTTGGAGAGTGCAGAAGATGTCAAAATTAAGATAGAACTGAAGACTGAAACTGATACAGATGAGAAGGAGGTCATTAGTGAGAAAGCAGAAGGTGAAGAATTGAATTCATCTTCGCAGATTGGATCGGAAGATTTAATCGAGAAGACTAATGTTCCGCATAAATGCCCACATACCAGGGGACGGGGCCGTGGGCGTAGACGATCTAGACGCTGCAACTGCTTTTCAAACAACCGTGACGTGTTCTCACAGGGCAGTGACTTACAAGAATCGCAGGATCTGAAAAGTGAGCAGGTTCCACTTGTCACTGATACCCTGAGCTTGAATCATCCAAACCAACAGGTGAATCAAACAAGGACCATGTAGAGCTCCCGGAGGCAGAGACAAAGCAGTTGGAGAGTGCAGACGATGTCAAAATTCAGATAGAACTGAAGACTGAAACTGATACAGATGAGAAGGAGGTCATTAGTGAGAAAGCAGAAGGTGAAGAATTGAATTCATCTTCACAGATTGGATTGGAAGATTTAATCGAGAAGACTAATGTTCCGCATAAATGTCCACATACCAGGGGACGGGGCCGTGGGCGTAGACGATCTAGAAGCTGCAACTGCTTTTCAAACAACCGTGACGTGTTCTCACAGGGCAATGACTTACAAGAATCGCAGGATCTGAAAAGTGAGCAGGTTCCACTTGTCACTGATGCCCTGAACTCTCAACCTGAGAAGTCAAGCTCAACATCTGTAGCAGAGAAAAGCGAGAGCTCAGGAATTGCAGATGTCCCAGATGCTGATTTTCAGCCATTTTCAGCATTGCCTGCTCAATTCCCATCTGAGGTTTTCCCTTCTGAAAGTCCCATTGCAAAGCTTGGTGTAATTGTTGCTCAGCTGTCTGAAGCAGAGGAAGGAACACAGCTTGAATCATCCAAACCAACAAGTGAATCAAACAAGGAGCATGTAGAGCTCCTGGAGGCAGAGACAAAGCAGTTGGAGAGTTCTGGGTGCACAGGTAGTCAAAAGCACAAAGAAGAAGAAGATGGATTGGAAAACACTTCAGTAAGTCAAGAACCTCTCCAGAGTTCAACACCTCAAGACACATCTCCAAGTCAAGGTCGCCCAGTGGAAGATGCACCTAAATGCCAAGAGCAGCTAGAGTCTTCCCATGTCCAGCAGGAGGATGCAGGTAACCCAGCAGTGAAGGAAAGTGAAGACCTTGCTGTTTCTGAGTCAAATGGCAAAGAATTGCTTGACAAGGATGTTGCTCTTGTTGAGAAGGATGAAGACACTCAGATAGACAACCGGGATCCTCCTGTGGACCCACAAGAAGAGATGTCTGTACCTCCTGAAAGTAGTACCTCTGGAGCCTGCTTAGATTCACCACCCAAGCATAAACCTTTGGACGCTCTTAGTGGAGAGCTGGAGCCTGGCCAGAGTCCGAGCAGAAACCGATCTAGTGTCTGGTCTCCATCTGCTTCTCCATCCACCAGTATTCTGAAGAAGGGGCAGAAGAGAACATGTGAAGAGGATACACCCTCCCCTCTTCATAAGGTATTTGACCGTATACTATAATATTTAGGAAACTGAAACAAGTGTAATGTATGTTTTCACTTTTGTCTAATTTTCACTTTTCCTAAAACATTGTTTTGCAGTCACGTCGAGTGTCTTTTGCAACTCCAATTTATCATCAAGAACTGGCTGATGATATTGATCGACGTAGTCCAGTTATTCGCACAAGCTCACCTAGGTCCAAAGTCTTGAGTGGACAGTCGAAGGTGTGTGATGAGTTTTGAAATCGTTACATCTTGGATATAAAACTGATTAGATTTAACTTTTCATGGCATACCGTTTAATTTCTTCAATTTTATTACAGTATATCACTACACCCACAAAAGGATATACAAGTCTAAGTCCACGTAACCTCCATAGCCCTGGATCCAAAAGCTCTAAAAAATGCCTGGTAATTATTTTCTTGCCTTGTACTTAAATTGCTGAAGTTTTTTTTTCTGTTTATATTGCTCCCATAAAGTCTGCCGATTCATAAAGATTTTTTCTTCATTTTTTCTTAATTCTGAGAAATTAAGACTTTCTCATGTTATTCAGTTGCATCAGACTTCAGTTTATTTGAACAGTAGTCCAAGTGGAAATGGTGTTAAAATGTTCCTCTTTCTTTATCATAGATTTCAGAGATGAGCCAGGAGCCACGTCCTATTGCTAAAGATTGTGTTTATCCAGCACTTGTTGGCTGCTCTACCCCTGTAGAGGCTGTTTTACCACAGATATCCTCCAACATGTGGTAAGCCAGATCACCCATTTCCCCTTTCGTACATCTTGGCTTCAGTTCATTAAGTTAATTCCTTCGTTTTAATTTTATATCCTTGTGAACTACAAATACATCAAAGTATTGATCGAGTGGTACAGCTGACAGACGTCTCTGTGGTAGTACACGTATACTATTTCTTCACCCAAACAGTTCAATCAGTTTCTTCTCATCACTAGATTTTATCACAGATCTAAAGGTTGTTTTCTGGGGTGTTAATGTAAAGAATGTAGGTAATTGGCATACCTGTTTTTTTTTCTTTGTGTTTAGGCCTCGTGGCTTTGGTCAGCTTGTTAGAGCAAGAAACATCAAAACGGTTGGAGACCTGAGTGCCCTTACCCCAAGTGAAATCAAGTCTCTTCCTATTCGCTCGTCTAAGCTGTCCAATGTGAGGAAAGCACTTAAAACATATTATGAACAACAGGTAATTGTGTATCTTGCATTAGTATCTTCTCCTTTATTATGGGAGATCATTTCTTATATCTCACATTTGGCTGTACAGAGAAAAGGGAGTTCTGATGACCTAAAGAGTTTTGACGAAATGGAGAAAATGACATCTGAGCCTGAAGAGATGGAGCTTCCTCAAAACCAAGAGGAGGAGCAAACACCAGGAGAGGCTCAAGGTTAGCTATTTTATTCTGTCAAATCCATCATTGGCGATACTTTCAACATGACAATGACTTAACTCATGACTCCCAACTTTTTGCAGATGACAGACCATCAAAAGTGGAAGTAGATTCAGAACCAATGGCTGAGGAGAACAAATCTCGTGATTTGCTCTCAGATGTTGAAGCCCTTAGTGGACACCTAACTTCAGAGGAGCTTGGTCGCTGCTCACCCAACCAGCTGGGTCTGATGCACGAACATCTGAGCGGAATGATGAGAAGCATTGTGACCCACATGCAGTCCTGCTTGCTGAGTAATCTTGATGATAGCTTGCCATGAGGACATTGAGACATTTTCCTGACATAATTCACTTTTAACTTGAAGATTAACAGTGGACTGCTCATTTCTCAAGTTTTAGCTGGAATTTTAGAGTAGATGAATTTCTAATTATGCTCTTTCAGAGAATAGACTTCAGTGGCCGAAAGCCATTGCTACTTAAGTGTCAATGTATTTTATGGCGTGATTTTTAAGACTGTAAAATTGTGGTGAGATGCCAAGGAAACTTTTTTTTTTTTAAATAAAGCTATAGTATTAATAAAATTTCTTTTTTCATTAAATGCTTGGATTTTTTTGTCAATAGATTTGCTTTGTATAAACCACTAAATTACGAATACATATCCATGACAGTAAACAGATGGACTGCAGAAGCATGGTGTTTTATTATCTACTGATTCAAGGTATACATCTTCCTCTAACCCCACACCTACAGAATCAGAAACAAAACACGCATGCAAATAGTGGCCAGCCTTCAGCAAGGGAGGGAGGAGGCTTGCTTTTAACATAAATACATTTTCATTTTTGAGGAACTGATGGCCTGTCCTCAACGTCGTCTTATAAAACGATTTCAGATTTTCCTTTTTCACATATAAAGTGAACTATGAGCCCATCTCTCGTTGTGCAAACGTTTCAGTGTTAAAACTTTCAGGATGGCATTCTTTGAATGTAGTGTGATTGCAATATACAAAAATAATGGGCTCCAGTTACTTAAATGTTAGAACAGAACAAAGATAAATACAATTGTCTGTGACTTAAATAGGTATGTATAATTTGTCAGTTTCTCATGCCACAACCACAATAGACTTGTGACATAGGCACAAATGAAATTTCTTAACAGTAATGAGGACAAACAGTAGCGTAACTACTTGGACTAACATTAGCACACATAAAATAGTTTGTTCTGAGTGGATATCAAACGCCCTCATCCTCAGGGAGTTTGAGAGGGCAGTAGTTGCATTTAGATGGCTTCCACATAGTTGGCAGGGAGCATACCGGTCTTTCCAGTACGCTGCACAGTGCCATACATCCAACCCTCATCGATAGACTGCACACTCACAATCACATCACCGTCCTTGAAGGACACTTCATCATTGTCTGCAGCAGCATAGTCATACATGGCACGGACAGTTTTCTGTTGAAGAGAAAATGGCAGAGGTGGACGAAGTACACAAATCAAGTACTTGAGTAAAAGTACAGATCCGTATAATAAAATATTACTCCAGTAAAAGTAAAAGTACTCAGTTTTCAATTTTACTCGAGTGAAAGTACAAAAGTACTTGATTTTTTTATGTACTTAAGTAAAAAGTACCGATAGATTCATGTTTATTTTGCAGTTTTATATAGGCTACTTTTATCATTTAATTTTATATTAGCATATATTTTTTTATAATCCTACTGCTCAAAATACCTGGGATTTTCCCAAAATAACCAATAAGAAAATAATGAATATAATAAGGAAAATATGTACTCGCTCATTATATACATTTTGAAAATTTTGAACACATAAAAAGTTACATAGTGCTGCTTTAACAGTATCAGACGCGCACGCACTCACAAGATCTCCCGGTTCTTACTTGTGAATTCAGTTCACTGGAGACTTGCACTAAACGGATCATTTGAATCAGTGAGTTGTCGACTCGAGAACAGCTGCAATCGGATCTTTCCAATTCGTCCAGTAAAGTACAGATACTTGAAAAATGTACTTAAGTAAAAGTAAAACTACTTCGTTACTGTCCACCACTGGAAAATGAACAATATTAAACGACCAACTTCATCAAATACACAGTGAATATGTAGGGTATATGCATACACATACGATATTAGCATTATACTATGATAGTGAAACTGGCAGTGATCTCTGTACTTACTCCAGTGGTTGAGGGATGTGAGGGGACAGAAGAAACAGTGGTCTGTTGTGTTGCCACAGAGGAGGATCTCTGCTGAACCTCAATTGTCTTGGTCTGTGTGTAACCTATAGGACACAACAGCACAGATGTAATTGTATATATTTCTCTGTCACTAGTTAGCGTTCAGATTTTGGACTTTTTTTTTTACTTTCTACAAGTAGATTTTAATCATTATTAGTAATAGAGAGATGGTACGCCAGATCAACAGTTTTACAATCCATTTTAAAGCCTCAGCAGTTACTACAGAATGAAATGCTGCAGCATACTGCAGGGGTGTGGACTGACTCCAGACTTGACTCAGACTCGAGTCCCAAATTTGATGACTTACGACTCGACATAATTAAAGAAGACTTGAGACTCGACTTATGCCGAGTTCACACTGCACGATATTAGCCCGATTCAATAAGCCAGAGACTGCGTTCGCTGGATATATACAGACTAGTATCAATTAATGGAGTAATAGCACAACTTACGACAAAAGAATAGAGAAAAAAATAATAATAATTACATGATTCGTCTAGTAGCGATCTCCGCTCGTGAAAAGCGCTGCCCTGCCCGGTTGATCGCCGCCCAGTAGGGACGCGGAGCGGGCTTTCATTTTCATTTTTATTTGTAATAAACACCTCTGAGACCTAAACAGCTGTTTTTGTCAGATCTCCACTGTTTTTGTTCGATCAGTTACATATTTTATTTGCATGAGCATTTTATTTTATTTAAACCTCCATTAATTAAGTTTAAAGTTAATCCACAATCGAGATTTAAATCAGAGTTTAAAGTTATGGCGCAACAGGATTAATGTTAATCTTAAATATAACTTAAATCCAGGTTGGCACAATCCCTAAATTGAACTTGAGTAGTTTTACTTGGGGCACCCATCTCACATGAAATTGAACTATGTCAAACATATTCTACCTGCCTTCCTGATATAAATTACTATGAATTTGATATGGTAATTAATACTTACCCCTACTTAAGACACTAATTTGGGCAAAGAGAACTAATGACTTGTTTAAGACTTGAATCTTAAAGTTGAGGACTTGCAACTTGACTTGGACTTGTCTGTCTTGACTCGGGACTTGACTCGAGACTTGGATGCAAAGACTCGAGACTTACTTGTGACTTGCAACACAATGACTTGGTCCAACCTCTGGCATACTGTACACTTAACAGTTTGAGATGTGCATAACATTACTTTAAATTCAGTTTTGACAGCAATTTATTCCAGTGGTAATTGGGTGAAAACAGGAAGTTAATCCTACTCTGAAATTGGTTTAACGTACATGTAGGCCAATATGTTCAATATAAATCATGTCAACTTTTTGATTTCAGTTAGATTTGCATATTTGACCTTTTTTTTCCCACTTGCTTTTCAACATCAATTGTCCACTGGGATATATATATATATATATGGGCCATTCTATGGAATTGGTCCAAAGTCAGAGTTGGAAAAGTATTGAAAAAAAATCTTGTCTTTTTCCAAAGAAATTAGTATGTATGCAAATATCCAAGGTACACATTTCTTGGAATTGTGCAGTTAAGTCTCATAGGCTACGTTCACACTGCGAGCCTTAGTGCTCAATTCCGATTTTTTTCTCAGATCCGATTTTTTTGTATAGCTGTTCACATAGTTGTTTTAAATGTGGCCAATATCAGATTTCCAGTGTTAACAGATAATGGTTCTGAACTGACCCGCATGCGCAAAAGAACGATACGAACAGGGATTTGGCAAAACTTGCGCAGCGCGCCGTCATACGGAAGTAAACACGGAGGATATGAAGTAAGCGATTATGCGTTTATTTATAGTGTGATCTGCTGCAGAAGCCAGCGAAATTATGCACAGGCAATATGAAAAAATAAAGACAAGGATGTGACAAAAGAAAGCAGAGTTTTGAAACTTTTATGATACGAGCGGAGCCCTCATGTTTTGCTTGTAGAGTTGTCACTGTAATACACGAGTTCTGACACATCACACTTCCACTGATTAACGTGCCTTTCGCTACTGTCTTGATAACTTTGGGTATGTAAAATGGTTGAAGTGTCGCCCATCAGCACGGAATTATGACGAATGTCGATCTAGAGTGACGTAAAAGCCGCATGAAATCCGACATGACCGTTGACACTGCGGTCGCATTGCAAAACATCTGACATGGATCGGATTTAGTACCACATATGGAAGGCGGTTTGTGCTGTTCACACTGTCATGACAAAAACAGATCTGAGTCACATGTGAGCAAAAAGAAAAATCAGATTTGGGCCACATTTGCCTGCAGTGTGAACGTAGCCATATTGTATTTTTAGAAAGTTTTGGAATATTTGTCCTCTCTCCAAATTTGTCACTACCGACACAGTAATAATAATTTAATTAGAAGGGTTATATTGACCTATTAAGATTTTGCTTACATCTAGATTGTAAATTTATATTTTTGCTATTTTATTACATATTTTCTCAGAGGTAAATCAATGTCAACTCAATTTTAAACAATATTTCAAGTGTAAATTATGAGATTTGTTGTATTTTGAATTAAATTTAAATGATTGAATTCTTTGCAAAAGGCAAAAAGTTGATAGTTGATCATTCAAAGTTAAGGATTTATTAGTTTGAATATACATTGAATCAAAAACTATCATAACATCTTACATCTTAGTTCAGTATACTTTATTTTTGATAAAACATCCCACGTTTCGGTAGTGACCGCACATTTTCAGTAGTGACTATAATGCTTTGGTAGCGACCACATCACATTACAGAATTTTAATAATACTAATTACTAATAATACTAATGATTACTAATAATACTAAAAAACTACTAAAACATACTAAAATACAAAAAAATTGCATAACTGTACTAAAAAAATTTTGTTCAAATATGAGGATTATGTGTTCCCTTTTGTCACTGTGACAATTCTATGGGATAACAATTCTAACAATTCAGAAGGATCATGTGACACTTTATACTGCAGTAATGGCTGATGGAAATTCAGCTTTGCATCACAGAAATAAATTATATTTTAAAGGATATTAAAATAGAAA